CTTCAGGATATGACACACTTAAAATACTACTATATAAAGGAACTGAGATTTCTGTACAAAAATTCAATGGATTGTATCATAAATTTTGTTGTGCATAATCTCTTTAATGCCATTTTCAGTTCGAAAGAAATATTAATAATTCTTAGCATAAAAGCTTTCAATCAAATTCTTATATAATCAAATAATAAACATTAGTCTTATGCAATGCTTTCACTACAATAACTTCTCTTTTATATTAGTTCTATCCATAATAGTAACTTTTCAGCTTATAAATAGGATATTAAAGGATATTAAACATACAACTAAATCATACACATAGTTCATATGTACCTGAATGTTGTTTAAGCAGTCAGTTCTGATATCATAAAGCATACCACTTAAAAGTGAATCACGAGTAAACACTTATCGGGTAACAGATTGAAGAAAGTGATTCTTTCATCAAGTTTCAACGATTTCCGAAAGAGGAACTTACTGAATCTTACACGTCTTACTCCTAGAAGAGTGATTGCAATATAACTGATTAATTTATGATTATACAAGAGTAACATGCAATATCTATCAAAGAATGAAACAACAACATAGTTTCACATTTGTTCTTCTGTTTAGAGTTTTACATTTACAAAGAATAAGGCTTGATTCTTTCCCTATACTCTTCATGCATGAAATTACCTTTACGACACCAACACACCCTGGGATCTATTGACCTTCTCTCAGTAAACCTGTCATGTAAATAGAACAAATGAAGTTCCTTTATTCTTGTCGACATTTACAATCTTTATACATTACATACTCTCATAACAATGCAACATGACATGATGCACTACAGGAAAGAGGGTCACTGATATATCTTCAAAGATGTTAACAATACTTATATTTTCATTTTCCTTTGTCATTACCTAAAACCTATTTCCACTCACCTCATGGAAACTGCATTTCTAATTCATGAATACTTCTTCCATGAAAATGGAGATTTCTTTCTCTTAATTATAGTTAATATCACAATTCCAAACACAAACCTTATATCTGATTTGCCTGATAACTGAGATGTTCCACACTCCTTAGTATATGCAATGACAGTTTATCAAGTGCAATATTAGATCTGTTTCCTTTATCTTCATATCAATCTTGAGATGTAAATTTTAGGTATTATAATCATGATTCTCAGCTTTATCAGGTACTTATACACATTCCGTATTGAAGGCTCAATACACAAGTTTCATTTCTGAACAAACTTCATACCTCTAATGAGGAATTGGAAAATTAAAATAACTGCTAATGAGAAACTGATAAATACATTTCACACTACAATATGTCATATAAAATTAAAATGTTCCTTCTGTGCATTACATATTCACAGACAGAGGTAGGGCACCATATCATAAAATTCAAGCTTACAAAGAAGCCACATGAATATTACCACTCTAGTTTTCATACATAACTTAACTCATACAATCTCTATGCTAACACACTTTTGAGCAAGACTACATACAGTGTAATACACAAACAGCATACCTTCTCCTTAATAAGGCAGATACCTACCACAATAAAACTTTCACTATAAGAACTGATATCTTATAAACAAATCATATTTTCATTCCTTAAGTATATGAACACTTCTTTTAGTCATTTGTGCATTGAAACTAATGTCTGGTCAATGATAACTCAAAAGATTCATAAAAAAGAAAGACCTCATTGGGAAAAGGCAACTGGGATATAATAATCATGCTAAGTCATTTGTGCCAAAGTAGATTGTAATGAATAGACTCATTATCATAAACCAATGGAATAAAGCTTAATCTAGTGACTAAGATTTTGCTATCTTTCTTACTTCTGTGGAAAGATTTGTCAGAGGAAAGGAGAATTACATCAGTACACTGTAGGCCTCCGTCACGATTCCGTCACTTTGTAATCCTCATTTAGTAATGCTTGTATGCTGTTAGGATGTCGGTTATTTACCCTGGAATTACTTTGTTGTTTCATATATTCCTCTTTGTTGGGATATATTGCATCAAACCATTTCCTTAGCATGACAATGTCATTATCTTCTGTTTTGAGAATGCGTTGCTCTGCCTTGTCCTTCCTCTTCTTGTGTAGTTGAAACAGATTCTTAGCCTTTCTCTGTGACAGCCTTATGTTTTTCTTAGTTATGTTCTGAACTAACTCCACTACATAACTGATGACGTTAGGGTCACGCAGGATCTGCATGTGGTCAATACCTTGGTAGGGCTTGTGGTAAACCTTCTGCTTCTGTTTGCCAACCCACTGCAAAAGATTAAAAATCCCACTAGTATTGAGCACCGGAGCACTGAATCATGGTCTTATCATAAATATGTCTAAAATCCTTCATTTTATTTGAGGTTTTATATCACTTACAGCTCCCGTGGAAACCTCTTCTACATCTATATCTTTATCTATATATCTACATTCAATAAATATCTAAAGGATGAACCTCTCTGGTTTAATATGTAACCCCTTCACAATGGCATTTTCCCATGCCACATTGAGCCATGTGCTGAGCTTTGTACAGTTAGCTGCATGAGTGAAAAAATCAGAAGCAAATTAAATATACTTAACCTGTTCTCTATGCTCTTAGCTGTGGCATGCAAAATCTTTTAGAAAATTATACTAAATAGAGACTTAAAGGCCAATTGTTGAGGAGCTGTATCTCCCCAATGACTACATTCAGGCCCAAACAAATGAACCACCATTTAGCACACCCAACTTACAGCAAGCTCAACTGCTGGATACTTGCCACCCATGGTTTGGATAATGTGATTACATATCGCCTAAGAAACTGAGATGTAATCATGAAAAATTTTGGGTCATTTATAATACCATTATAACATTTCTCATAACTGGACCATGATGCATAGAAGAATGAAGTTCATGATATCAAAGATTGAAAAAAATTGCAGATGAGAAAAGTTCATCCTAATTTTCACCGTCATTTACAATTTTCAAACACTAGGCAACAAATAACAACTTCACACACATCCATCCATATAATCGAAATAAGTGTGCCTCTACAATAAACACTTCAAAGGGACATATTCCATAATATACTCACTCTATTCTATACATGGGAAGCTGAATGATGATATGGTGAAAATGCATCAAATGAGAGAACAACTTACTTCTAAACAACGCCTTGCACTTCTTAAGTTGACCGTTCCATCCCCTCCACCATACACGACTTTTGGGGAGTCCGGGAATTTACCAGCAGCATAGACTAATCTGGGGGGGGGGGGGGGGGGAATTATAGCTTTTGTTAAACCCCCAATATTTCTGAATATAAATGTTTTCACTTTTTTTTTCAATATTTTTGTAAATCTATAAACGTTCATTATTATCACTACAGAGAAAGCATTTAAGCCAATTTCTACTTTTCAACTGCTCTAAAATAAAAACTACAACAGAATAACGACTTCTACGGGGGTCCTTACTTTTCGACCGTTTCAACTCCCTCCCCGTGCAGGCAATGGACTTCAACACCAGGCGCCGGGGGGTTCTTCAGTAAATCCTTGGTGTCCAGGTACATCTCGTAGGCATCGGGCAAGTTCAGGGTCCTGGAGAAACATATCCAAGATAAGGGAGGGAATGTGGGAGAGGGAGAGGGAGGGACTTTCTGAATAAAATGTGTCTATTCTTATATTCATCAGCAAAAAAAAAGTCTGTGACAGGAAGATACCCAAACGTAGAACTCATTTTTTCTTATTTTCTCACACACACACACACACACACACACACACACACACACACACACACACACAGTAGACAATCCCTTTAACAGTATATATGTGAAAACTAAAGAACAATACACACTCAAAAAGTTCTTGGAAGTTTGACGTTGAGTAGTTTTTCGTGGGTGTCTCAACCAGGATGTCGTCAGGTCCCCAGAGGTCGGAAGAGGGCAGGAGGAAGGCCAGGCTGGGAGCTGATCTCTGCTCGGCTCTTACTTTTAACGAGCTAATGACATAGATACCCAGATTATCCCCTGGAAAAATAGAGAAAATATGCGTTACACAATGCTTTGGGAATCGGACAAGAAACTCATTTTGTAAAAACTCTGTAAAATAAAAGCAGCTAGTTTTTTTTTGTTTATTTTTTCAGTGATCTTACATTGCTCATTTTCAGTTGATACAGAATTTGTTATATTTCAAAATCTTTAGAAAAAGAAAGAAAGTAAACACAAATGAAAATGAAAATAACAATAATAATAACAATGATAGAAAAAAAATGGGAGAGAAATTCAGCAAAAAAGCACAAGAAACGTCCTTACCGGCTGTATAAACTTTGACAGCTTTGATGGAGCCTCCCCATGCACCAGCCAGGGACACTACAGTTTCTATGTGCTTGTCTTTCCAATGTTGTTCCTGTTGGTTCAGGAAGTAGTGCATCATTGGGGCACCCATGCTGTGCAGGATGAGAATCACCTTCCTCCCTAAGCTCTGGTAAGTTTCCTCGATTAGCCTGCGGAGGTCATGGAAGTATTCGCCGTGCTCATCTGCAGAAAGAAGTCTTTTTAATCACTCCTCTGCAGAGATGGAGTATCAATATTCAATACAAAGTAGCTGTGATTAAGTTGAAAATGGGTACTTCAATGGGATCTAAATCCGGCACAATCTTGTCCCAATAGAAATCCTTCTTCATGCCGTACTCACTTGGGGCCCTGCGGAAGTCGAAAGGGGCTCCTCGCACAGACACCCCTCTTTCATATCCCATTGAGACAAGAGCATTGACAATATCCTTGAAGTACCCGGTAGGAGATCGTTCACTGGGGTCTAGCCATTCAACTGTAGTCGAGTTGCCAAATCCAGGTATTCTTGTTGTAACTCCTGGTGCATTAGTAGTTGTACGTGTTTCATTGTCATATACCAGCTTCATGTTGTCCACCTGTAATTACAAAAGATAATAATTAAAAGATAGGGAAAAAAAAGGGAAAAAAAATGGAGAAGGGCCTGCATATTTCATACTGATGACTCTTTTCTTTAATAGGGTGA